AACGCGAACACCAACTCCAGTGCGAAGTCGTCATCACCGTCGCCAACAACCAGAACCTGCGCACACGACGGCAAGGAGTTGTTCAACTTCAGTCAAGAGAAACAAACGTGATACTACAGATGTCAAAGGTCTTAATCGCAGAGGGACTCGGCTACAACTTACTGAGTGTCAGTCAACTGATGGCGAAAGGCATTCACCTCGAAGCAGACAGCACCACCCAGGAGTTCAAGTTGTATCACGGGAAAGGAGGACTTTAAATCGGAAAGGCTGTGTTGAAGAACAACGTCTTCGTCCTCGACTTCGTTCCAGATCTTGGCACCGCTGACAGCGACGGAATTGTGACCTTCACTTCTTGGACACATCCCCCGGATCTTGATCCCGACTTCAGTCCAGGCGGCTTCTGGTATTCGCACACCATACCTGAAACAGAAAGAACGAGAGCGTTAGCAACAATTCAATCGGCAGCAGCAGAGACAACATCGGCAGCAGCAGAGACAACATCGGCAGCAGCAGAGACAACATCGGCAGCAGCAGAGATAACATCGGCAGCAGCAGAGACAACATCAGCAGCAGCAGAGACAACATCGGCAGCAGCAGAGACAACATCGGCACCAATCGCTGGTCCTTCAACAGCACCGGTCTTCGTCGACAACACACCACCGACTCCTGCGCAGCAGCTGAATCCAACTCCACGAGAAGTCCATCGAAGCGCAAACTACACCGCAGGCTTCTACTCCAACTCCGACTTATACCGACGCTCACCCGGACATCGCGCTGACGAAGATCTCTGGCATAAACGAATGGGACACCCAAGCAACACGACGTTAAACAACACGATACGAGCAGGCGTTCTCGACAAAGACTCTCTACTCCTACCCGACGGAAGAGAACTTCGACGAATGCGAGGAACCTGCTTCACCTGCCCCAAAGCTGACTTACCGCATCAGCCCTTCGTCTCTCACCACAACCCAAGTGCACCGGCGTACGCACCTTTGGAGAAGGTCTACAGCAATATACTGTACAATCGCGAACCCGGTCAAGGAGCGTATAACTACGTTATCACCTTCATCGACGCCGCCACGCGATACGTCTGGCATCTCAACCTTCCGAGTCGCGACATGGCTTTCGAAGCCTTCGTCGCATGGCTTCCAGTACAGTAGCAGAACGAGAATTAGGCGTAAAGCTAAAGAGCTTCCAGTCAGACGGAGCAGGGGAATATACGTCACAGCAGTTCAAAGACTACCTGGCAGAACGAGGAATCAAGCGCCTCATCTCCCTTCCCTACGCCCATCAACAGCAGGGTGTAGCAGAAAGAATGAACAGGACCCTTCAGAACACAATGCGCAAGCTGCTACGTGGCATGCGGCTACCCAACCACCAGTGGCCCGAGGCAATGGACCACGCCGTGATGCTGCACAACTTGCTTTCGTCATCATCGCTCCCGAACAACGCATCACCGCATCTGCTGTGGACAGGAAAACTGGGCAGCACAATAATGTTGCGAAATTTCGGCTGCATGGTACAGTACCGACCCCCAGCTACACGCGCCGGCCGATTCTCCCAACGCGCACAGTGGGGACTACACCTGGGTATCGAAAAACATTACAACGCATGGAAGATTTTCGACATCAACACAAAGGAAACGGTGGCAGCACGTGATGTTATCTTCTACGAACGCCTCACTCTTTCAACGTACCTGTACAACTTGGAGACTTCACGAGATGTCACAGGCGGATTTCGTGGGGACCGAGCCTTCGCTTCGGCAGCAGATGAAGCTGACCTGGACGAGCAGACCATGGACGGAGCTTCGGAAGAAGCCGGACCTCTTCCCTACTGCTCGGTGGACGTTCCAATGGATGACGACAACCCTCGCGAAAGCGTCAACGCCGAAGTCTTCTACGATTTCGCCGACAATGGTTACGTTACACCCGCCCAAGTCAACACCAACGAAGTCGAACGCATAGGACCAAATTTCTTACCTGACCCAGAAGCAGGTGACGAAGCAGCTTATCCCGAGGACACAACACTCCCCCGCTACACACAGAGCGGACTCCAGATACTTGGCCTCGTCACCGCGGTTCACGGCACGGAGATTCCTAAGGGGCCTGCCACAGTTCAGCAGGCTCTGGGGGGGGGAGCATAGGGAAAAATGGCGCGAAGCCATAGACAGGGAGCTGAAAGCGCTGGAAGAACGGAACACCTGGAAAGTCGTTCCCATCGGCGTAGCACGCAACAAAACGGTACTCACCGGAAAATGGGTCTTCCGTGTGAAAACAAAGGCAGACGGCACCATCGACAAGTTTAAGGCGCGCTGGGTCGTACGCGGTTTCGACCAAGAGCACGGACGCGATTTCACCGAGACGTTCGCACCGGTCAGCCGACACACTTCGCTACGAATTCTCCTCGCGATCGCCGCCATGAAGAAGAAGAAACTACGGCAAATCGACGTCGCCAATGCCTTCCTCTACGCACCTGTCGACGCCGAAATCTTCGTCAAATTACCACACGGCTCCAACGAAGAGCCCAACCAAGTCTGTCAGCTGCTGAAGTCCCTGTATGGCATCAAACAAGCTCCGAGACTGTGGCAACAGCACCTGCACGCTAGACTCATCCGCATCGGGTTCCGCCAGCTATCGTACGACCAGGGCATGTACCGACTCACAAAGGGCACCGACTACATCTTACTGATCGTCTATGTAGACGACCTACTCTACATTGGCTCGACCGACGGCGTTACTACCTGGTTCGAAGGGGAGCTGCAGCAGGATCTTACTCTCACTGTGTCATCGACCGTCACGCAATACCTCGGCCTCAACATTCAGGAAGAGGAAGGCGCAATCTACCTCAACGCCGCGAAATACGCCGACACCATCGCCAAACGCTTCGGACTCACCCCGACCGCCATCTCCACGCCATACCGCTACACCACCGGAAGTCACAAGGAAGGCTCCGCTCCGCTCAAGCCCGCAGGCATACGCGACTATCAGAGAAAGCTGGGATGCCTCCTCTTCGCAGCCGTTACCTGTCGTCCGGATCTATCATACTCTGCAAGTCAGCTCGCCACCTACCTCAAGAAACCTGAAGCGGAACACATGGCGGAGCTCGACCGCGCTCTTCACTACCTCGTCAGCACCCCAACGATCGGCCTAACCTACCACAAGACCGGAACTACAACACCTAAGTTAATCGGCTACGTCGACGCTGATCACGCCGGCGACTCTGACAACAGGCGCTCACGCATCGGCTACATCTACCGACTTGAGCCTATCGGGCCCATCTCTTGGCAGTCGAGCAAGCAGGAACTAATCGCTCTCTCCTCAGCTGAAGCATAATACATTGCACTCTGCTCAGCCACCAAGGAAGGACTATACCTTCGCGAACTGCTGGAAGAAGCGAAGCTGGCCCAGTTACCAAACTTCTCCCTGTTCTGCGACAACCAGTCTGCAATCCGCATAGCCAACAAGAACGGATTCGCGAACAGAACGAAGCACATCGCCCTACGATATTTCTTCGTGAAGGACGAGATCGAGAAGGGGAGACTCGAGCTGTCCTACTGCCCCACGTCTGAGATGGCAGCTGATTACTGGACCAAGAAGCTCGGAAAGCAGAAGTTCGAGTACTGCATGCTGCTGACTGGACAGAGCCACGTCACCGGCAGCGACACTCCAGAAGCGAAGGGGAGTGTTGGAAACAAGTGATTTAAGCGCTTCTGCTGTGTCGAAACATCAAGTCTTAAACGAAGCGAAGCACAAACGAAACATCAGCGAGTCAACCATCGGAGGTTGACAACTGAAGCAACCGCTGGAGGTTACGCGAAGGTCAAAGGTCAGCGACCTTTGACTTGACAAATACAGCGCGACAGCAAGGACAAACAACTGACACGATACAGAGCAGTTGCCCGAGTCGTCACTGTATCGAACCGCAACACCAACAGTAAAACAGTTATTAGCTGTATCTCTTCATATTCCTTGTACTCTTATAAAACCTTCTATCTTCTTGTTCTAATCAATCTACTTTGCCCTCACATACTAGCGCAAGGTGGTTCAATACTCTTCATTAAAACGCTTCCGCAACTACAACATTCCTACCCAGAGTTTAGTCCTGCAAAGATCCTAAGGGCTTTTCTCAACCCAACAAAAGCTGTTTTTGGCTAACAGGAGCAGTGCAAAGTTGGCTCAGCCTAAAAACATTGCTATAAAACGATTATCACTTTATACAAAGAAGCACAAAGCTGAACGGCTTTGTGGGGACATAGCCCAAAGAATGGTGAGGCGCTTGCCCAAACCACAGCTTTCTAAAGCAGCAGCTGGTGGAAGATCTGCAGACGCCACAGCAGATTCAGCAGCATGCGCTGACTCCATGTTGCTGCCAGCCTTGTGCAGCAGAACACAAAGCCCACAAGCCAAATTCACATTTGCCCCCTCATGCCGCAGTAAGCTCACAGCCAGCCCAGCAGCACCTAAGACGAGCAGGCAGCAACAGTGAGTCAGCTGTCGCCAATGGTCGCAGCTGCCACGTGTCAGCTCCTTCTCCCTAGCTCGTCTCGCTGTGTGTGGGCCGCTGCCGCTATGCATTTCTCTACATGTCGACTGGGGAGGCAACAGCCAGTGATGACTGCCCACGCTTATGTGACTTGGTGCGACAAGCTCAGCACCCGGTAATGCTGGCATACACACTCCAGCTGCTGCATCAGGCTCACACAATCACGTCGCCCGCCACACCCTGCACTTCCCCCCCGCCTTTTACTCAGCATCAACAACACGAAGCACCGCACACAGCCGAATAACATCAACGCACACACTACCACCCATCACCACCACGCGGATCCCCTCCCTCGAGACCTCGCGTCTGCTACTATCCTGTCCGCCCACGTCCGTGTGACTCGCCAATTCATCCTTCTCATGGTTACGTCAGCATGCGCTGCCTCTCAACTCACGCGCACTGAATTAGTCGCACTTGCAGACCCATTCATACACGCTCCATGCGCGCTCTTGAATCGCCTAGTCCCGTCGCGGCGGCGCTTGGTGCGCGGTGGGGCGCGCGTCGAAGACGCCGTCGATGAGGTGGTCGACGGCGGCGTCCAGCCAGTGCAAGCACCCGCGCGCCAGGATGTCCGACACGTGTCGCTTCGACCGCCACGCCACGGCGTACCCCGCCGACACCGCGGCTGCGCCCACGCCCAGCGAGAGCGCGGGGAGCAGCGCGCTGCGGTCGACGGCGCTGAAGATGCCGTTGCCCGTCGCGAACTCCACCAGCAGCGCCAGCGCCAGCGCCACCTGTGGCGGGGAGGGGAAGTTGGGGGGGGGAGGCGACCGTGGAGGAAGCAGGGCGCTGAGTGCAATGCACAGAGGAACATTCCCCCTGCGACCAAAAGCCTCTAATTTTCAGAAAGCAGGATGCGCGTCGCGCTGTTTCGACTCACCATGGCGGCCCGGCCGGCGACAGTCTCGAGGTCCTCGACCTGCGCGGACGCCTCGACGGTGGCCATGAGCAGGTCCGCCAGCTGCTTGCCGTGCCCGTCCTCCACCACGCGCACCGCCAGCGCCACAGGCCGCACGGCCGCCTCGCCCGTCGACGACTCGTGAAAGTCCTCCAGGTGGCACAGCCGTGGCACCACCTGCGACTCGGGGATGGGCGCCGCGCTGAAGTCGCCGATCGACGCGCTCAGACCCGTACGAGCACGGTTAGCGGCGGGGCGTTGTCTTTGCGTGGTGGAGGGCGAGGACGCAAGGACGGCTGAGATGGCGTGCCGCAGGACTAACGACTGGGCCATCGCGTCGCGAAGTTTGGCTGTCAGAAGTGTCGATTAGTCGCGGAGGGCAGGAAGTCACAAGATAGTTGAAAAGGGGACCAACGAAAAGACAGCAGTGAGCACAAGCGTCAAGAGGGCTGGCGTTGCAGACAAAGCTTGTGCTTGGTTGAGCTTGGTGTGGTGATAGAAGAGCAAGAAATGAGTCTGGTTGGTTGCACGCTGTTCCAGTGTGGTTCCTTTGTAGTACATGACGAGTCGATGAGCTCGATGGAACTGGCTGGTTGGCAGGGGAGAGAGGTTGAATCTCGCTGTCAGATGCGGCGCGCCTTCCTACCCGTCGTGGGGTTCAACGCTCAAAGCCCGAAGCTGGTCGTGTCACAGAGGACGCGGGCAACTGCGTTGTTTCCGACGGGCTGCCCAGCTTCGTTGATGTTTAGGGTAAAACACCAGGTCTCGGTATGGCTGCAACACAACCTGCGGTACGGTAAGTGTCATATGCGTAAAGTGTCGTATTTAGAGAGCGACTCTTTATTTTGCTTGCGATGTAAACACCCAAGCAGTAAACCGGTCACCCAAACACCACCCAGACACATGTGAAACCCACACCACCGAAACACCACCAACACACATTTCAGCGACCCTTGCCAGCTGGTGTGTGTCGGTGATTGGAGTGGACGGTTTTTGCTTCCACAGTCCACTGCCACCGTTGAAATCAAGAAAAGAAGGTGTCGGTAAGAGCTCGTACGGTCAAGATTTACGAAGAAATCTACGCATTCTGCAGCTGAAATCACCGCACGATAGGGCCTTTATGGATTTCCCGCTTGAAAAATGATGTGGACGGCTTTCTTCCAGCACAGCTTGCTACGATCTGACGTGTAAGGGCACGTGTGGAGCTGAGTCCAGCGGTGAAATTCTGAAGCGTCCCTCGTTGGCAGCTGTGCTTGATTGTCCCCTTGTTCTACCGAAACGGAAAGCTTCCTTATCGTTCCTAACCGTGTTGTGCACGTGCATCACAGGGGTAAGGCTTGGTATTACTATATATGTACATATATATATACAACCGTATGGTACCTATCGGTACCTGTAAGGAAATTTCCTTTTCCTTACTCCGCGTCCCTGCTTACCGCTTACATGCCCGTTCCCGCCATCGGCACCCATCCGTGAACGTTACCCGCTCGCGACATTCGCCTCGACTACGACTCCCGCCACTGTTCACGATGCGACCCAACCTCACGGTTCGGTTGGTAACCCGCGCTCCGGACCTCCGCCTCGACAATTCCCAACCTCGGCGCTAGGCCCGTAGCGCACCCCAATTTCCCGCATTACTGTTACCACACTAGCTTCGCTATATAACTTCGCTCATGCTTTTCGCTCAAACTGTATTGTTTTGCTTCGATAGTGCAATTCTCGCTCGCTCGCTCAATCGCACTCGTAACACTTGGTATTCATAGCCTACGATCTCCTCTCGGACCGCACCCACACCTTCGCTTCCCCACTATCTCATTTTTTTGGGGGGGTAGACGTCTCTCAGCGAACAAGCACCGCCGCTCGAAGTGCTCTCTCGTAAGCACGCACGGCCACGACAGAGGCTCTCGCTGAGCTTGCCCGACACCCCCGCCATGGCCGAAATTAATCTTGCGACACTGACACAGGAGCAGCTCGACCGTCGCGTGCGCCAACTCGAAGACTCGGCGCTCGAAATCGCGACACTCATGGCGGTGTCAGAATATTATGCTCTAGCCTGTAGTGGGGTGCTCTATAGCGAGTACAACCCTTCTAGGGTTTGCTATTTGTATCCTCATTCTTGCTAGTGCAACCTCCTCTTTTGCCTAAACTTCTCTTGCCTAGCTGGGACTTACCTAGCTATGGCGCCTTCTTCTACTGCTTATCTTCACATGGTATTAGAGCGATATGCTCCTGGCCTGTGGGCCCCACCTCACTGCTTCCGCTGCTACTGCTACTCCCTGTCCGCCGCGCGCCCCGTGGTGCGCGGCGTCGAAATTAGGGTTTTTCAGCCCGCCGTGCGCCCCGAGGCGCGCGGCGGTTTTCTGCCCGCCGTGCGCCCCGAGGCGCGCGGCGGTTTTCTGCCCGCCGTGCGCCCCGAGGCGCGCGACGGGTTTCTGCCCCGTCACTCGGCGCGTCGCCCCCAGGAGGCGCTACGACGGGCGACGAGGACCCGCGCGTCGCCCCCCGTCGCCCGTCGTGGCCTGCGCGCGGCCCGTACAGCCGGCGCGCGGCCCGTACGGGCTGCGCCAGGCCCGCGCGCGGCCCGTACGGACTGCGCCAGGCCCGCGCGCGGCTCGGGCCGCCTGCGCGCGGTTCGGGAGGCTGTGCCAGGCCCGTGGGCGGCCCTTTTCTCGCTGCCCCTGCCCTCCCCGCTGTCCCCCGTGCTTCTACTGGCGCCCCACCCCTCCTACAGCCCGTTCTCCTGAATTAGGGTTTGGGGGTGAGGGGTATGGGGGTGAAGCTACTGTGTGCCGTTCCCTGCTCCTCCTCCTCCTCCGTCTCCCTGTGCTGCAGCTGCCGCTGAGGGGGGGTGGACTTGTTGGAGCCGTTGGAGTGGTACTAAGGGGGGGTGAAGGGGGAGTGGAGCTAGCGGTGTAGCAGCGGGTGTGTGTCAGGGGGAGTGGGATAGTTTGGGGAGGTTGAAGGGGGTGGCCGCCGTGAAGCCAGCAGCTCCAGTCGCCCGTGAGACCGTTGCGCCAGTCGCCCGTGAGCCCGTTGCGCCAGTCGCCCGTGAGCCCGTTGCTCCAGTCGCCCGTGAGTCCGTTGCTCGTCTGCCGCTACTTTTAGCCGCGGAGCCAGTTACTCCAGTAGCCCGTGTGCCAGTTGCTCCAGTTGCCAGTGTGCCAGTTGCTCCAGTTGCCCGTGTGCCAGTTGCTCCAGTTGCGCCGTGTGCCAGCAGCTTCAGCTGCCGCCCTCTACCTCCTCTCCTCTCATAGTCTCTTTCCTCCTCCTCACTTGCCCGTTGTGACTACCACTAGCTTTGCTCATAATTGTGAACTTTAAACTATTGCTTCTTGAACTTGTGCTCAGAATGTGTGGTGACATTGTGATCCACCCTGAGCTTGTACTGCTTTGCTTGCTCTGCTGATTACACCCCACTTTGGCTATGGGGGTGTGTCAGAATATTATGCTCTAGCCTGTAGTGGGGTGCTCTATAGCGAGTACAACCCTTCTAGGGTTTGCTATTTGTATCCTCATTCTTGCTAGTGCAACCTCCTCTTTTGCCTAAACTTCTCTTGCCTAGCTAGGACTTACCTAGCTATGGCGCCTTCTTCTACTGCTTATCTTCACAGGCGGAACGTGACTCCGCCCGCCAGCAATCAACACTGAATGCGCCAACACCATCACAAGCACCCACAAATGTACCTGTGCAATCAGAAGAACCGATCGTCATCTCATCAGGCACACCGACGCAACACGACAGCGTGGGACAGCGCTCAGGCGCAGCCAGTGATGGCGCCGCTCAATCAATGCCTGGCATGGAGAGAAATAGGGCCGCACCAAGCCCGCGTGGGCCTCGCGAAGCTCGTCGGCACGTGGAGTTTGCAGCAACAAGTGGCAGCCACGACATCATGGCACCAATGCCACTCAAGCCGCAGCGCCCGCCATGGACCTCCACGTTTCGATCCGAGCCAACGTGGAGGTCCGACGGTTCAATCGTGGGTCTTCACGATGAACGTTTTCTTCGACGCAAATTACGTCGAGTCGGACGCAGCGAAGATTCGCTACGCTGTTTCGCTGCTGAGGGGCCTCGCCATGGACTGGTGGCGAGTCATCGTGACGTCGCCACGCGCCTACGAGCCACCGTCGCAAGAGGAAGAGCCCACGGGCCCAGCCGTCACCTGGAGTTCATTTTGAGAAACCGCCCAGTACAGCACGTGGGATGCGTGGTGCGCAGGGCTTCGGGCGCGCTTCGAGCCGATCGCGACCTCTATTTCGGCGCGTCAGAGAGTGCGTACTTGGCGGCAGCTCGGATCCGTTCAAGATTACACGAGCGGTTTTCTCGGATTATGCGAGCAAGTCGGCTACATGCACGAAGCGGAGCGGGTGGACCGTTACGTCGGAGGGCTGAAGCCGGACATCTCGCACGAAATCATGTTGCGCGGGCTCTCGAATTTTAACGAGATCCTCGCGCTCGCCGAGAAAATCGACATTTTGCGCCGTCCGAGACCGGGTTCCTACTACGGACATCGCCTTCGGGGACCGATCGAGCACGCCAGCGTACACGCCGTTGCGACAAATGCAGCTGCCGCGCCGTTTAAGGGGCGCTGCTTTGCTTGCAACAGGCCGGGCCATCGCAAAAGCGAGTGCCCAGAGGAGCTAAGGCGCCGCGGAGCAGAGCAGGGGAGGGAGTCTCAGAGGCAGGGAAACGCCAGCAGTCAGTAGAAATTGGGCCAACTACTGACGAGACTGCCTGCTCGCCCAACCTCACCGACCCTCACCGAGTATAAGTACCGATTCACGCCATCGATCGGGCTCGGATGAATAAGGAGGGTACAGCGACGGATTGCCCAGTACTGATCTACGGGAAAATACAGGGAGCAGCAGTGAAGATTCTTATAGACGGAGGGGCAAGTCACAGCTTAGTTAATACCGCGACCGCACGGAAGCTGCAACTGGCACTTAGTCGGTGCTTACCAGAGATAGACGCACGCTTAGTTGACGGAACGCCGCTGGCCATACGGGAGAAGGTGGAGAGAGTAAATGTCCGCTGCGGGGGGAACTTCGGGTTTACACAGGAAATGCTCGCAACGACATTGGATGGGCATGACATTTTACTGGGACGTGATTGGCTGCGACGGTATAACCCGCGAATCGACTGGACGACGGGTAGCTGCACTGTGCGAAGTAGCGGTAGCTGGGTCGAATTACCTCGCTGGCAGTCGTCCGAGTCTTCAACGGTCCACGTCAACGCCATCACGATGAAACGGGCTGTCGCCGCTGGAGCTGACGTGTACGCGGTGGATATCGCAGTGGTAGAAGAAGCAGAGCAGCCGAGCGATTTTCAGAAACTG